AAAAAGAAAAAGACAAAAAAAGAAAAAGACAAAAAAAGAAAAAGACAAAAAAAGAAAAAGACAAAAAACATACAACACCGGGTATTCGCTGGTCGTCACCGACCCAACTACTAATCCGGCCCTCACTGGCTTATCTAGGGGAGAGCGGACGGGATCCCGAGTTTTCCAGTGGGTATGGTCGTATGTGATGGAAAGTCCTCGTAGTATGCATTATATACCGAACCTGTCTTATAGCGTTTGCCCGCTTCTCCTGAGGGGTTTTTTCGTTTTCTTTGCTCGCAATCCCCGTTCACGCTCTGCGTATTCGTACAATTGTTCGGTACATAATTACACGTGTATTGGGGTATAAATGACAGCGACCACAGTCTCCAACTGCCCCGCCTTTCGGTCCCCCTCATCCCCGCAAACCTTCCATCTCCATCCACAATGGGTCCGCAAAGAGACCGAAGCGTCTATCATCTTCAATGGGTGTGTTTAGTAGGCGGAAATGTTAGGACAGCTTTGTCACTTTTGTTGAAGTAGCCATAGACATCTGTTCCGCTTTATCTCCACAACCAGCCTTGAACACATTCCTACTGCGTATCATGCAGCGTAGATATATTGTTTACGGAGCACACAAATAGGACATCATATTATTCCGTCTCTCAGCGCTGATGAGCCAAGGTCAAAAATGGCTCCTCTTATCACTCTTGCCACGTGTGCGCTGAACCAATGGAGTCTGGACTTTGAAGGCAATTTGAGGAGGATCAAGCAGAGTATCCTCCAAGCCAAGGAGGCCGGCGCAACTCTGCGAGTCGGTCCCGAACTGGAAATTCCGGGCTACGGTGAGTTATCGCGAGGCGAAAGTTGAAATAAGACGAGAGACGAGAGACCAGAGACGAGAGACGAGAAACGAGAGACGAGAAACGAGAGACGAGAAACGAGAGACACAGACGAGCTAACCTTGACCGTCACTAGGTTGTCTGGACCACTTCCTCGAGAACGAGGTCTACGAGCACTCACTAGACTCGCTCTATTCCATCTTGACGGATCCCTCCCTGCACGGCATCATCATCGACGTCGGTCTCCCCCTCCTCCACCGGAACTGCAGGTACAACGCTCGCGCCATCATCCTGGACGGCAAGATTCTCTGCCTGCGGCCCAAGCTGTACCTCGCCAACGATGGGAACTTCCGCGAGATGCGCTTCTTCGCGCCTTGGAACAGGCCGCGCCATGTCGAGCAGTATCATCTCCCGCCGCTGTTCCAGAAGCACCAGGGTCGTCGTCATGTCCCCATTGGCGATGTCGTCCTGTCCACCCTCGACACTTGTCTTGCCGCCGAGACGTGCGAGGAGCTGTTCACGCCGAATAGCCCTCATATTGACATGTGTGTGGAAATAGACCCCTGCCTTTTCCTTTTCAGTCAACCATGTTCCTCACTGACCCGACGGTGACTTCAGGGGCCTGAATGGCGTCGAGATCTTCACAAACAGCAGCGGGAGTCACCACTCGCTCCGAAAGCTTGACCAACGCATTGCTCTGATCCAGGAGGCCACCCGTAAAAACGGAGGCATTTATTTATATAGCAACCAACTTGGATGTGACGGCGACAGATTGTATGTGAACCCCTCCCCTTTCCCCCCTTTCTTGCTTGTTTTAGTTTTATTCTTCGGCCAGCACATCAAACATCAAATGGACTAACAAGGACAGGTACTACGACGGCTGTGCCATGATCTTCGTCAACGGCAATCTCGTCGGCCAATCGAGCCAATTCTCCCTCAACGAAGTCGAGCTCGTCGTCGCCACCGTCGACCTCGAAGAAGTGCGAACCCACCGCTTCGCCCCCTCGCGCAACCTCCAAGCCGTAGCAGCCCCCGAATACCAGCGCATCGAGGTCGACTTCTCCCTCTCCCGCGACGACCCCGACGTGATCGAGCTCGAGTTCCCGACAGCCCCGCGCCCTCCGCGCTACCACCTCCCCGAGGAGGAGATCGCCCTGGGCCCCGCCTGCTGGCTGTGGGACTACCTCCGCCGGTCCAAGGCCGCCGGCTACTTCGTGCCCCTCTCCGGCGGCATCGACAGCTGCGCTACCGCGACCATCGTCTACTCCATGTGTCGCCTCGTCGTCGCCGCCATCAAGGAGGGCAACGAGCAGGTCATCGCCGACGTGAGGCGTATCGCCGCTTTCTCCCCGGACCACCTCCCCGAGACGGCCGAGGCGCTTTGCAACCAGATCTTCTGCACTTGTTACATGGGGATGGAGAATCAGAGCAGCAAGGAGACGCGGCAGCGGGCGAAGGACCTTTCTGAGAGGATCGGGTCGTACCACACAGATGTCAATATCGACGATACTTTTCATGCCACGAAGAATATTCTGACCCAGGCCACTGGGTTCGAGCCGAAATTCAAGGGTTGGTGACTTTGCCTTTCTTTATTATTGTTTGTTTGTTTTGCTTCTTTCTTTCTTTTTTTTCTTTTTTGGGTTAAAACTCCCACCTACCAAGCAGGCCTGCTGACCAAATCTGTACTCTACTCCGGCAGTCCACGGCGGCTCTTCTACATCGAACCTAGCTCTACAGAACATCCAGGCGAGATCCAGGATGGTGATTGCCTACTACTTCGCTCAGGAACTATGTGAGGTCCGGGGGCGACCTGGGGGCGGCTCTCTCCTGGTCCTCGGGAGTTCCAACGTGGACGAATGTCTGCGCGGATGTGAGCAACCCCTTTTACTTGATGAATCCCCAGGCATGTGTCAAATGTTGGCCTTTTGTGTGCCCCTTTTCCAAGAACAGACAAAAGACTGGCACAACGGCACCACGACTGCGGCAAAACCTCCTGCTATCGTTATGAATGCTGACATTAAGGATAGACTTGACGAAATACGACTGTATGCAACCCCTTACGTCCAACCGTAGCCAATGCGGAAGCGACATGGCCCCTTTCCCTCAATCATATCAAGAAGTGGCTCAGGGCCCGGCTGACTGACATTCCCCTCTAGGCTCATCTGCGGACATTAACCCCATCGGCAGCATAAGCAAAGTCGATCTCAAGAGGTTCATAGCCTGGGCCGCGAAGAACTTCGACATGCCCATCCTCGAGGACTTCATCCATGCCACGCCTACCGCGGAACTTGAACCCATCACGGCCGACTACGTTCAGAGCGACGAGGTCGACATGGGCATGAGTTACCAGCAGCTCTCCCGCTTCGGCTACCTTAGGAAAGTGAACCGCCTCGGTCCGTATGGGATGTTCCTTCGTCTCCTGGAGGAATGGGGTGGTGAGGGTGGACTCGGCCCTCGCGAGATTGCCGACAAGGTGGGTTTTCTTCTTTCCTTTTTCTATCCCTTCTCCTCTTCATATTCCATCCTACAATTTCTGTTTCTTGCGGATCTGTTCCAGCTGACAGTGGACCGCAGGTCAAACGATTCCACCATTACTACCGTGAGTGCTTCTAAGAACCGACCTCCCTCTCACTCCCCTAAAATCGGGTCAACTGACAAAGTCGCAGAGATCAACCGCCACAAGCAGACCGTCGCGACCCCGTCGTACCACGCCGAAGATTATAGCCCGGACGACCACAGGTTCGACCTGCGCCCGTTCGTCTACCCCCCAGCCTTCGCGAGCTGGTCGTTCGAGAAGATCGATCGCCGGGTGGCGGCACTGGAAAAGAAAGCCAAGGCGGATACGGAGAACAAGTCATAGAAAAAAACATAAGAGATAGACGAGGCGGTACCGCGAGGTGTAGGGGGGGGAGGGGTATATAATACGTCAATAGAATGTATTTCATTTCGTCAGAAAAAGCCCTTCTTATACGGACCCGGATCCATGCCGATGATCCTCGATGCTTCTTCTGCTGGCAAATGAAGGCCACGCGCCAGTACCTTTGGGTAGTTTGTTCCCTTTCGTCACGCCCGGATGCAAGAAAACCAGAAGACCAGTGGAAGAACATGAGTTTTATTCTCGTCAAATTCCCCCTTTCCGCTCATGTAGGGGGGGCCAACTTTTTTTTCCGCCCGAATATTTCTCCCAACGCCCAGGAACCGTTTACTTGCGCATGGAGGACGCGCGACGCTTGCGAAGGTCGGCCTTCTCGGCCTTCTTCTCGGCAATGCGCTTGGCAAGGATTTGGGCGTACTCGTTCTGGAGAGAATGTCAGTAAGGACGAATGCTTCTATCAGGTCGTGTTTTATAAGGGCCCAACTTACAGCCTCATCCTTGACCTTCTCGGCCTGGCGGCGCTTGAGCGCAATGCGGTGGCGCTTGTGCTGCAGGCGCTGGGGAGTGACCAGACGCTGGATGCGGGGAGCCTTGGTGTAAGGCTGCTTGCCCTCGCCCTTGGGCTGGACCTCGCGGCGAATGACGTACTTGCGGACCTATTGGATCCCAAGAGGAATACGGGTTAGTCACTGGGAATCCCTCTAATTTTTCACTTGTAGCCCAACTCACGTTCCCCTTCCACTTTGCCCCTTCCCGACCCGCGTTTGTTTCAACCTCGTACCGCTCGCGGCATGGGGGGAAAGAATACGCCCAGGTGGACCAGGGGGGGGAACGGCAGAAATGTAGAGGAACGCGGCCTTCTCTTCTCACACTCTACCCGGCCTGCGTAATCCTCCACTGCAGCGCCGGGCAGGCGATGACGAGGTGGCTTTTCGAGGCGGATAGGAGCACACGTACATCGTCATCCTTGGTGAGGCCGAAGAATCTCCGGATCTTGGTGGCGCGCTTGGGGCCGAGGCGCTTGGGGTGAACGACGTCGGTCAGGCCGGGGAGGTCCTGCTCGCCCTGCTTGACGATGGCGACGGCGAGGACGGCCAGGTCCGGGCCGACGATGCAGCCGCGGATGGACTTGCGCTTGCGCTCGCCGGTGCGGCGGGGGCGGTAGCAGGAGTGGCCGTCGGCGAGGAGGAGGCGAGTACGGTAGGGGAGCATGACACCCTGCTTCATGGGGAAACCCTGCTTGTCGTTTCCGCCGGTGATGCGGAAGATGTAGCCCTTGAACTCGTCACCGAGAGAGTCGGCGGGGACCTCAGCGCCCATCTGCGTGTCGGGGGAAACAATCAAGTCAGTCCATCTGATTCTGCTGCCATTCTTGCTCCACCTTGTTCTCTTGATCGTCGTGCGTCGTCTGTCCTTCTCGGATGGTAGAATATCGGAATCGACCAGGGGACGGTGCATCTGTCGATGAACGAATGTGGTGGTGGATAAAGTTAACGTACGCGCTTCTCCATGAAGACGGCAAGCTTGCGCTCATCCTCAACATCGATGAGCTTCTGGCTGCCATTGGCAGGGTAGGAGATGTTCAACTGCAGAGAGCACACAGTCAGCATGTGTTGATTCCTCGTGGTTTGGCTATCGATGCCCTGAGGCACGCGTAGCAGCAGGCCTGTCTTCAACAAAACAACAGCAACAACGGTGCATCACTGGTACAATCGGTCATTGCACGGCAGCCGTCGTTTGTGTTGTTGAGGCTCAAATGGATCGTATCGTACCTTCATCTTGCCGGCGCTGGGTGGTGCAAGATTTTGTCGTGGACGGGTCGACTGTTCGCTGGGTGATGGAGGACGAAAAAAAAGAATTAGGAGGTTCCTTCGATGGGCGTCGTAGGGTTTTTTCCGGACTTCGTGTGGGTGAGAGTAGGGCTTCGGTAGCTGATGGCCAAGAGCCAATCAAATCGGTTGATAGTGTCGTCGGATAAACTGGTTCCAGTTTTACCGTGACACGTAAATGTGGAGACGCATCCGACTAGGACATGCACGGACCAGATACGTACCTTCTGATTTCCTGTGCAGTGGGGATGAACGGGAGAGTACGAAGGAGGAAGTACCATGTAAGCTGACAGTGGACATTCATCGTCATGCCTTGATTCCCGTCTGTTCTTTCAATCATCTTGTCGTCTTCCTCTCAAGGTCTTCCTCTCAAGGTCCCTCCTCAAAACAGAATCTCCTCTCCTCACTTTCGCGTCCACCTCCGCCTCCACTTCCACCTCTCCTCCCACAGCCATGTCCCAAGTCAAGGTCTACCCCCCTCGGCCCTCCCGCCAGGCCTCCTCCAACCCTCTCCCCCAGCTCATCCAAACGCCGTCCGGCTTCGCCCTCCTCGAGCTCCAAGGCACCTTCAACCTTCCCTCCGACTGCGTGGACGCCGACGACAAGGCCACGGATGTCGTGCCGATGGGCAAGATCGACTTCCCCGACTACCACCCCGAGACGCAGGACGCCAGCAGCACGGCCTGGATGAAGCGCGTGCATCTGTACGTCGGGCAGCACCAGCGGCTGACGGGGCAGGTCAAGAAGCTGCCCAAGGCGTTGGCGGTGGTCCGGCGCAGGGGAGAGGCCGGTGCCGAGCCCGAGCACCTCGAGGTTGTGGAGGTGGTCAAGTACAAGCTTGTCTTCTCGGAGAGGCCGGAACCGATCAATACGGATGTGGTCCCTTGATTTTCGGGTCGTTCCGGTTGTATATATCGCGTGGCATCAGCGTACACTTTGAGTTGAAGAATTTTGACTGATTATCTGAATCACGGCGGGTGAGATTTCCATGCATTGCAGGGCGAGCTGTAGCAGCCGAGCTTCCATCTGGGTGGTGGTGCACTTGATGGCGCGATTCATTATGCTTAATTAAGCGAACGGGTAAGGTATTGACAATGATTTTACGCAGCTTTACGACTAGTCATGGCTCGTAAACATTCTCATTGTCCCTTTTCTCGTCTACCTTATCCTCGTATTTCAACCTCTATGGCCCTCGTCCTCCCTAGTCCGTCCTTCCCATAATAATCCATGGGATACACGCCCGTCTTTTCCCATCCTTCCCTCGCCTCGAGCGCCACGAGGGCCTCGTAGGGCGTCAGCAACGGCCGGGGAAAGGCGTACCCCCAGTCAATGCTCAACCGCGGACACGCGACCTGGACCCAGCACTCGACGTCGGCCATGATGGCCAGTTTGCCGGGGAAGATCTCGCTCAGGAGGAGGTTCACAAAGGGGACGCCCCTCTCGTTGAGGCGGGCCTCGATCATGGCCATGGTGTGCGGGTTCCCCTGGCGGCCGAGGGAGCCGAGGATGAGGCCCCATTTCCTGGCGCGCTTGGCGGTGCGGATGGCGTCGGCGCGCAGGTCGCGCATCTCGTGGTGGGCGTAGGTCTCGCGGGTGAGCTTGCGGGAGTACGGGTCGTAGCGGTAGGCGGGGATGGAAGGGTTGTGGATCATGATGCTCTCGAGGTGGAAGCGGCCGTCGCCGAGGTACAGGATGAGGTCGACGTTGCCGTTGGGGAGGCGCGGCGAGGTACAGCCGAGGATCTCGCCGCGGCTGAGCGGGGCGATCTGGGGCACGAGGACGCGGAAGCCGGCGCGCTCGAGGGCGGGGCGGACGCCGTGGATGGTGGCGTTGAACTGGATGGTGCCGACGAGGGCGAGGGTCTTGCCGGCGGGGAAGTTGCGCTCGAGGGAGGCCAGCAGGTGAGCGGTGTCGATGGCGATGTCGACGAAGACGTAGAGGGTCTTGATGGTGGTGACGTCGACGGGGATGAGGCAGCTGTGGGCGTAGTGGACGAGCAGGTCGCAGCCCAGGGCGCGGGCGGTGTAGTCGTCGATGCAGCAGGCGCCGTAGGTGACGTCGCCCATGATGAGGGTCTCGATGCCGGGGCAGAACTGGGTCAGGATGTCGGAGATGGTGGTGGCGAAGAGGAGGAGGCCCTCGGGCATTTGGAGGGCGACTTTTTTGGCGGCGGAGGAGCGGATGCGGTGGATGGTTTTGGGGATCTCGAAGCTGTAGTTGGATGGGAGGAGGCCAATGGCGGCGTTGAGGGCCGGGTCGTTGAGGATCTCTGCGGGGACTTGGTTTAGTAGCCTGGGTCCGCGACGTGGCTTGGCGACTGTATTCTCGAGTCAGCTACATTTTCGAGTTTTTGACGTGACGTGTGTGAAGGAGTGTGAAGGACAGGTTGGATCAGACCTTGTATTGACTTGGAGTCCTCGATGGAAGTTGTACTTGATGTAGGGGCATTCTTTGCGGCGGCCTCTGCGGCAGTCCGGCGGCCGACAAAACGTTTCTTCGGTTGTTTGAGTGCTGGGGGCTCATCTGAGGTCGCTGCGGCTGGTGTGGGGATCGAAGTATGTGCTTCTTCTGTTTTCTCTGCCTCGTGCGCTTCCGCAGCTTGTTCTTGTTGACGCTGTTCTTCTTCCAGGTCGGCAGCGAGGCCTAGATCGGTCTGGGCTCGATCTTGTTCCATTGTAGAGGTAAATGCAATGTTACAAAGCCGCGTGTATGATATGTCGGCTTCGTCTTTTCTGTGTCTTTTGTGTGTCTTTTCACTTGGGTTGGTTAAGCGGAAGTGGTGGGATGAGATTTGCCCCGCTGCGGACGAGCATTGTCTGATGAATCGGTTAAGTGCAATTTTGGAGGGGTAAAGATGTTTGCGATAAAAGCATAGAGTAGAGTTTTAGGCGAGTTTCTCGATTTGGACACCGAGATGCGACTTTGCTCTTGATATTCCGTGTGAATTACCTTACTCCACGCTCCGCACAGTGAGTCCGGTGCGCAGTCCCGAACTCCACCGTCTAATTACTCCTTCGAGATCTCTCAGTGTCCTACACGTACAGATATGTCCTACAGATATCAAGACACTCAAAAGAACCACTTTCTTATCCTTCTCATCATCCATGGATGCCAGTCCCCAAACCATCAATTGCAGGGAGAGACTGGTCCTACATTTAGAGGCAACCAATGTCTGTACGCTGCCAGCTCGGTGCCTGGACGATCTGCAATCCACTAACAGACAAGGATCCATCCCACTTTTTTTTTTTTTAGCAAGGCACAAGGGCGCAAGGGGTCAACCGATGGCTCCCACAGGGCTGGCTGGACACCCAATGGACAGCTGATTCGGTGGTCCTGCGTCACAGGCGCCCGCAGGACCTAACTGTCCGTATTACGTTCTAACGCTTGACCGGACAAAAACTGACCTGCAGAGGTGCAGAAAGTCCCTCGGAGGGTCAGAGCAATAACCAATACATAATTACTGGGTGTCTTCAGCTTGCATTCGGTTCTCCTGTTTCTCTTGGGAACAACTTCAAACCGACGGACCGAGTACGTGGCCTTCGCCAGGCAGCAGAATTGATCGGCTGGAAGAACCCCCGCGCTTGAAAGAATACCATCATCTCGACTTTCATCTTGCTCCTCTCCGGTCGACTGCGAATCATATTTTCCATATCCACCGCTGCATACTGTGCTGCCCCCTCTTCTCGTTACCCCCGGCGAGCGGATCGGATCACCATCGACATAGCAAAGGGAGCTGAACCACACAACGACCTGATTGTCGCACATTCATCAGCCAGGGCATCGAGAGTCACTCCCACATTGCGCCGTCAGACCAGACAAGACAAACCCCGATCCGGCTGGAGATGATCACGTCCAAGTAGTTTGACCGGGTCGAGTGCTCACCGCGTTTTGTTGTGGCCAGCCACCATGAGCTTTAACCTCCCCCTGCGTCCCAGCTCCATCAGCCACAGGAACAAGACCAGCCGGGACTATTTCACAAATTACACGGCGCCGTCGTCTACCGAAGCCATCAATGGGCCCGTGCCGGCGCCGGTGACGGAGGTCACCGCACCTGTCGACCGTCTTATCGTGGGCGTCGACTTTGGCACCACCTTTTCAGGGTAGGCTTCTTCGTTGTTGTTCCTTGACCTATTATTTCATTCCGTCGTATTGAGTCTTTACTCTTCCCATCCACTCTCTGACCCCTCAACAAGAGTCGCCGCCGTATACACGGGCACCCCAGACGACGTCGAGATCATCAAGACCTGGCCCGGCGGCAACGGCATCACTTCAGACAAGGTGCCCACCGAGATCGCCTACACCGATGCGCCAACATTCGATGCGACCGACGGCAACGCCACGTCCACCGTGAAATGGGGGTTCCAGTTCCGCCCCGAAGAGTCGCGCATCCGCTGCATCAAGCTCTTCCTCGACCGTTCCCAGAAACTCCCCTTCTACGTCTCCCCGCAAGACACCGCCGCCCAGCTCCGCCACTTCGACAAGAACGTCGTCGACGCCGTGAGCGACTACCTCACCCAGATCCACGCCCACACCATGGACACCCTCACGCGCCGCTACGGCGAGTCCTTCATGGCCTCCACCAAGGTCGACTGGGTCCTGACCTGCCCCGCCGTCTGGTCCGACGCCGCCAAGAACACCACGCTGCTGGCCGCCGAACGCGCCGGCATGGGCGCCAAGTCGTCCATCCAGATGATCAGCGAGCCCGAGGCCGCTGCCGTCTACACGCTCAAGGCCATTCAGCCGAACCACTTGAACGTGAATGACAATTTCATCGTTTGCGATGCTGGTGGTGGGACGGTAGAGTGCGTGGTCTCCCCTTCTCTATCTCGACTCGTCAAGCCACTGCTTTTCCCTCTCTCCGGTTTCAATGGCTGTTTTGTGCTGATCTGAAACGCCACAATCTCTCAGTCTCATTGCTTATAAGATTCTGTCCTTGAAACCTCTCAAAGTGGAGGAGTCTGCCGTCGGTACCGGAGGTCTCTGCGGGAGCGCATTCCTCAACTACCGGTTCGAGGAGCACTGTCGCAACCGTATCGGACAAAGCCGGTTTGACGACATGAAGACCAAAAAGGCCAAGACCTGGCAGATGGCGCTGAGATACTTTGAAGAGTTTGTGAAGCGCAACTTTAACGAGGCCGAACATCAAGAAGTCAACGTGCCGTAT